TAAAATTACGCACAATAAATGGAAAAAAATTTGCTTCTATNGCTGGACTATAGTATGTAATAATATAAAGTTTAACATACTTCAAAAATCATGTATGCATATTAGAGTGGCCTTTTTTGGTCGATTTTCAAAAACCGAAAGTTTTCGCACGAAAAAACATGAGGTTGGCAAGGAAAATAAATATGAAATTTTTTTTCTGGATCCGGAAATTCCGAGTGGTTCCGGGTTGATCATTTTGATTTTTTAATAGGAAATATGTTGAAATTGAAATTATTATTTTAAATTTTTAGCTTTTACGACCATGAAACCCAATTTTTTATTCCTGAACTGTTTTTTATTGAAAACTGAATGCATTTACCTTTTTAAACTGCTCAAAAAGTCTGAAATTGATTGAAAAACCATGGTACACGATAATATTAAAGCTGAGAAAAATATGAAATTATCATTCATATCAATATATCATTTAATGTCTAATAATAATAATATTTAATATCATTTTAAATAAATATAAGTAGAATTTTTCTAATATATATTTAAAAAAAAAAATGCTGAGAAAAATATGAAATTATCATTCATATCAATATATCATTTAATGTCTAATAATAATAATATTTAATATCATTTTAAATAAATATAAGTAGAATTTTTCTAATATATATTTAAAAAAAAAAATGCTGAGAAAAATATGAAATTATCATTCATATCAATATATCATTTAATGTCTAATAATAATAATATTTAATATCATTTTAAATAAATATAAGTAGAATTTTTCTAATATATATTTAAAAAAAAAAATGCTGAGAAAAATATGAAATTATCATTCATATCAATATATCATTTAATGTCTAATAATAATAATATTTAATATCATTTTAAATAAATATAAGTAGAATTTTTCTAATATATATTTAAAAAAAAAAATGCAAAATAAAAGAAATTGGTGTAATTTCGACATTTTTAGTCGAAAAACTCAACCCGGAACATCTAGGAATCACCTGAAGGCTTTTAAACTAATTACGTATTTATTTATATCCCCAACCTCACATTATTCTGTGCGAAAACTTTTGGATTCATGCATTTAAAATTTTTCATACAACAAAAAGGCCACTCTAATGCATATACATAAACATTAATTTCAAAATTTCATATTTCGTTTGTATGTAAATAATACTTTAAAACTCCATAATTTGTGGAGGCCCAAAGGCCTATGATTTGGGGTCTTCACAGTATTTCTTTCACATCTGTTCCTTGCGAGCGCATATTTTCGCACGCTGGCTAGCTTGTAAGCGAAAAACGGGATAGCCTTAAAGCCAGTAAGGTATCTCAAATCATCTTCTTAAACTAAAATTTAGGCAACAATGATTTTTAAAACATAAAAGATATGAATGTATAATGAGAGGTAGCTAATTACCTCTGTCTAATATTAATATATACTATATTTTTAAAACATACAACGAATGTACCTAATGTATTGAAAACGTAAAACGAATGTACCTAATGAATTGACAATTCATATACCTACAATAAAATAACTTTAAATGTTTCTAATGTTAATAAACACTATAGGCCTTATTCATAAAAAATAAAGTAGGTTTAAAGAGCTTTATAAATAGACGTTTTCGTACATTTTTCAATTTATAAACCTTTTATACAGCTACTTTATTTTTTATGAATAAGGCCATATGTTTTTTAAAAAATAAAACGAATGTGCCTAATGTATTGAAAACGTGAAACGAATGTACCTAGTGAATTGACAATTCATATACCTACAATATAATAATTTTAAATATTTCTAATGTTAAACAATATGTTTTTAAAACATAAAACGAATGTGCCTAATGTAGGAGGCCCTGCAAATTAAAACGTCCGCGTTTGTTCAATGTTATCACAGAACTGATTTATTTCATCATCCATTCTTGGTCGTTACATGAGTGAATGCTAATTACGAATAATGAATAGTGATACATAACTTAACCCTTAGTTGGATTAACATTTACATACTATGTTAACCCTCCGCAATACTTAACTGCTACAATTTGGCCATCCTGACCTTGAGATCACCTGATCTCAGGCGTATTTTTCATTTTGTTTTGTTCTAACCAAGGTCGTATATTTCCAACAGCCCACACACCTTTATACGGGATTCTGGATTGTTGGAAGCCTTCAACATCCTCCAACACATACCTATCATTACGTAAAACTTTCGAAATTTTGTACGGTCCCTTAAACTTTGGAATTAATTTTTTAGAAACTCCTGCCGTAGAGTCAAAGTTCTTTATCATAACAAAATCGCCTTCATTGTACTGGTTCGCCATCCTTCGTTTTTTATTCACGTAATTATTGTTGTAAGACTGTAAACATTTTTCATTTTCTAAAGCTTGTGTTCGCACTTCTCTATGATTTTGTTGAACTCGACTTTCTTTTCCATCAACTAAACTGTCACTCAACAAGTCTGCTATTTTTCCTCGCTGCTTAATACCAAACAGCATAACACTTGGATACTGCTTAATTTTTCTGTGTATACTATTATTAAATGTATATTCTACTGTTTCAACAACATTGTCCCAGTATATACCTCGCTCTGTATCACACAACTTAGCTATCATAGGACCAAGGCTTCGGTTTACTCGTTCAACTTGTCCATTCGCTTGCGGAGAACCAGTTGCTATCTTTATGTGCTGAACATTTTCTTCTTCCAAAAATTGCGAAAATTCATTTGACGTTAAACAGCTACCTCTATCTGACACTATCGTTTTTGGTCTGCTGTGCGATCGAAAATAATCTTTAAGAGAACTAATAACTTCTTTTGTATTAGTTGTTTTTGTAGAATACAACCTGACGAATTTTGTGCAAGCGTCTATAACTACGAAAATATGTTTCTTCGCCCTTGAATTGTCGACCGGACCAAAATGATCTATATGTAATACTTCAAACGGACTATCTTTTTTGGATATACTGTGTAAAAACCCCTCTTCTTTTCCATGTTTAGGTGAGAATACTATACATTTTAAACAATTTTGTATGTGTTTAGCCGTTTTTCCCCTCATTTTCCCAAACCAGTAATGTTTCGAAATAAGGTCTACCAGTTTGTCAACACCAATGTGACCCATTTCATCGTGATACTTAAATAGTACATGGCTTTCCATATCTTCAGGGACACAAAATAAAACTTTTCCACTACCAGTCTTCCTATACACAATTCCGTTTCGCATCTCATACAGGTTATGTTCACCTTTTTGTAAAATATCTCTTATTTCTTTGAATCTGTTATCTTTTGCTTGACATATAATTAAATTTTCTTCGAATGTGTTTGTTTCTATCAGTAGAATATTATTACTTCGACTCAACGCGACAACATGTTGCATACGCGTACCTGATCTGTGTTCTAATAAGTAGTCGTAGTTTTGTAGCTCAAGCGCCCATCGAGCTATCCTAGGGTTTAATTCCTTTTTATTCAAAGTCATCGTTAACGAATTACAATCAGTAACTATTTTGAACTTTAGCCCTTGTAAATAAACTCTAAAACGTTTAAGCGCATAAGTTATTGACAAGGTTTCTAGCTCAAAACTATGATATTTTGACTCAGCTTCGCTAGTTCTTTTAGAACCGAATCCTAATGCACTTGCGTCGCAGTGCAATTCCGTTGCGTCCTTTGGATCATAAATTGCTAAGATTGGCGCTCCCAATAATTTTTGTTTAAGTGTTTCAAAACACTGTAATTCTTCCACACCAAACTGAAATTTTCTATCCTTTCTAGTTAAGTCATACAACGGCTTTGCAATGACTGAAAAATCCTTAACAAATCGCCTAAAATACGAACATAATCCTACAAAACTTTGTACGGAATGAACTTTAGTTGGCACTGGAAAATTACGAATCGCTTCTAAACCTTTTTCATCTGCCTTAAGTCCATCTTTCGAAATAGTATATCCTAAATACTTGACTTCACGTTGCAAGAATTCGCATTTGTCTAACCTCAACTCTAAATTGTTTTCAACTTACCTTTCAAAAACTTCAGCTAGAATCTCAAAATGTTCCTTTTCATTTTGGGTAGCTATCATTATGTCATCTAAGTAAATTATCACTTTGTTCTTCTTAACCATATCTGAAAAGATTTTGTTTACAAACTGCTGAAATGTAGACGGCGCATTCCTAAGCCCAAAAGGCATACGTAGAAATTCAAATTGCCCTAAAGGTGTTATAAAAGAAGTATATTTAATTGAATCTTCTTGCATGAATACGTGAAAAAAACCATTCTTTAAATCAAGTTTTGTGAACAATCGTTTGTTTGCCATTCTATCCAATAAATCATCAATCAAGGGGATTGGGTAATTGTCTTTGGCTGTTACCTTATTAAGCGCCCTATAGTCAACGCACATTCTAATTTCACCTGTCTTTTTGCGTACCAGTACGATGGGAGACACGAACTCCGACTCACTTGGTCTAATAATTTTCTTTTCCAGATACTCGTCTAACAATCTTTGCAATTCATTTCTTTCAGAATACGACAGACGTCTTGGAGGACAGTTGAAAGGCTTTTCATTGCTAACGACCAATTTCATTTCACTCTTAGTTTTAGGTTCACCTGAACGTTTTGAACTTGTATAACATTTATCTAAAATTTCGTAAAACTTTTGTACATGACAATAATCTATATCTGAACCAACTTTAACATTTGATTTTTCGTTATCAACTTTTATTAATAAAAGCTGTTTTACAAAATCGTTTTCAGCATTACATTCGAAAACTTCTTCGACACTTTCTATTTTTCCACTATCTTTATATTTCAATTTTATATCTTCGATACTTTTTATTTTTTCATTACATTTATCTTTCAATTTTACTTCTTCGATACTTTCTGTTTTTCCACTAAATTTATCTTTCAATTTTACTTTTTCGATATCTTCTACTTTTTCACTGCCTTTATCTTTCAATTTTACTCCTTTCATTTTTTTCTCTCGCCTTAATTCGAATTTATAAACCTTTAAAAAGTCTCGTCCTAACACAGCTTCATACTTTGTGGTTCAATCATCGACTACTAAACTGCAAAATATTCATTTTTTATTTTGACATAACATAAAAACTTTCCATAAGTTACAATTTGTATATCATTTAAACCAAAGTAGCAAGAATTTAACTTTAATAAAGATTTTAGATTTAGTTTGTCTTTAACGTATGATCGCCTTATGAAGCTGATTGGACTTCCTGTGTCATATAAACATTCTAAGGAAAAAGAAATATAGACATCATTTTTTATAATAAAATTAAACATTCTTACATATTCGTCGACCATATGAATATTCTTTTCATCCGTACATGCTGCCACTCGATGGTCTTTACTGCCACAAGCGTAGCATGCGCCGACGTCGCAGTTCGGTGCGATATGACCTCGACTATTACAATTGTAGCTTCTAACATCGCGCATCTGGGCACCACTCGTAGTCGTTGTTGTTGTCGTCTTTCGCCCTGCTTCAATTTTAGTGAAGGCCTTCACTAGCTGCTCCTTTGTTGTATAGCATTGTAAATAAGCTTGGGTACGCAACCGGTCGTCTGCTATGCCTTCAACTACGTATTCTACTAACTCTTCTTCACTAAGCTGTAGCTGACTTGCGAGCATTTCTTTGTCGTTAAAATATTGTGAAAATTTTTCACCGGCCTTCCATTGTCGAGTTTCAAATCGACGTCGCAACAGCAAGCGGCTTTCCTTTGAGCCGAAAACGTTTTCCATTTGGGATATTAAGGAGTTCAATTCTTCAGTTGTAAAGTTTGAAATACTGTGTAACCAACGCTGTGCTTTGCCTTTCAATTTGTTTAGCATCAATATGCGCAACTCATTTTCCTTAATATCGTAACCGCTAGCAATATTTTTAAATTGTGCCACCCAAACACTAACGTTGGTTCCGCCGCTGAACTCTGGAATCATATTTTGTATCATATCCAATGATATTGTTCGTTGGGTTACTATTGTGTTACTCGCTATTTCACTACCACTCAATTCACGCTTTAGCAGGTTTGCTTCGCGTACCAACAACTCAAAATCTATAGCGTTGATGTTTGCATGTGCATTTGTGTGTGCCGTTTGTTCTGCTGCGTTGATAGATGTCTGGTCATTTCTCTGCTCGCTTCGCTGTAACGTGCTGCAATCGACCTGAATGTTTGTATGTTCAGCGTCGACTACGATGTCGCCGGCTAGCTGCTGTGCCTGCTCACCTTCGTCATTCGTCGCTGCGTCAAAATTTTTTGATTTTTTGCGAGCATGCTCGTGAACCGCCCTACAAACGACGAATATGCACCATGTGCGCGGATATGTTCGTAGTGTGTAGCCACTGTTAGCATCTGCGAGTTTGCCTGCTCCTACATACATATTTATGTATTTACATAAAAAACTACACAGTTTCAAAATATGCGTTTTTATCAATTACGTGTATATAATTATAATAAAAAACAATCCACGTTTTATTTAATAAAAAAACAAGGCATATATTCGTTCACATATGTACATATGTATGTACACCCCGCGGCAAAAATATACCAAAAATCAACGGTATTTTGTAGACACTTCAAGCATGCACTTTATTGTACATACTAAAATTGAAAGGGCTACAAAACTACATGATTGGAATTTTTATAAAAATTGGATGGAACTGCTGATTTCTTTTAGTTTTTGTGGAAAGTTTGAAATTTGGATTTATATGGTTTTGGTTAGACAATTTTCCTTAAAGAAAATCTAATTAAAATTAACTTATAAATCCGGGTGCTAGTATCATTTTGTAGAGGGGTGTATAATTTTCATTTGGTTAAATAAGATAAAATTAAGCTAATGGAAAAACTTAAAACTAGCCATTATTATAACAAAACAGTCCACTTTTAATAAAAAAACACACAAAGTACATATCGTCGTTTAAAGTAAAAAACCGCGTATCGTCATTCTGCAAAACCGCGTAAGTGACATTGGCTGCCAAAAATTGGATTTGCTCACACAAGCTCTTGGCTCAATCCTTATACATTCGTCCTGAAATATACTAACCACAAATGCGATTGCTTTATAAAAAAGAGAACCATTTTGAAATATGAGTGTTTTTACGCTCTAGAAAATAATTTCTACAACTTCACATACGCGGTTTTGCATTTTGCTGATACGCGGTTTTGCACTTTAAACGACGATATTCATTTCCATACTCATATGCACGCAGGTACAAACAGTAATGGAAAAGTAGGCACAATAGTGCCATTTTTGGCACTTTCATTTACAGAGGCACTTTTGGCACAATTCATCCCGTTTTGGCATAATCATAAAATACAGAAATTTAAAATAAAAGGCTACTATATAACAAAAAATCACATACCACACTACAGATTAAAAAATACAAAAAGTGAAAATTAAAAGCACTAAAAATTAAAATAAGGGCCGTGAGAAATATTTACAAACCGCTGAATTCTATTGTGAATACGCAGTATGAAAAGTAAGTTTTCGCAACAACAAGCTTTTAATTAGGAATTTTTAGAAAGATTCTAAATTTGCAGTTTTATAGTCCATTAAATGAAATTGCAAGTTTCTGCAATATTCCGATGATTTTCGATATTTTTTTTTTGACCTTGTCACACATTTTCATCCACTAAAAAATTTTCGAACACACTTTATATGGAAAAAATGCATGAAATTGTAAACTTGGAATCTCCTTAAAAATTCTGAATTTAAAGTTTGTTGTTGGAAAAACCTGCTGAATTTTTATGATTTTGTGCAAAGTTTAAAATTACGATTTTTGTACATATATTGTATTTATTAAATTATGAATTAGACTTTTATATAAAATCATTCGAAAAATAATCAATAGGCGAAACTGGTCAAAATGTCTCACTGCCATTATTTCGCATATAGGTACATTATATATATAAAATAATAGCCGTTTTCATTGTTCGGAGTTAACTCCAAAACTAATGCATAGATTTTATTCAAATTTTCCGAGGTATGCAAGGTATCATATATGGTCCTATTATAGGCAACCGGAAAACTCGGTAGGTGGCGCTAAGGTCGAGTTATTTATAAAAATCGTATTTATTAACCGTTTTCTTTTGAATTCAAAATGTAAGCTACCAGCATGATGGCAAACACGTTTACCAAAAATAGACCCGCTAGGTGGCGCGGGAGTCGAGTTATTTATAAAAGTCGTATTTTTGAACCGTTTTCTTTCAAATTCAAAAGGTATAGTTTCAGCATAATGAAATATACGTTTACCAAGAACGGAGCAGCTAGGTGGCGCGGGAGGTGAGTTATTTATAAAAGTTGTATTTATGAACCGATTTCGTAAGCATGATGAAATAAGCACTTGCGAAATACGGACCCGCTAGGTGGTGCTTGAGTCGAATTATTTATAAAAGCCGTATTTATGAACCTATTTTGTTAATACACATACGAAACTTTTATTACTTTCATAATGATTTTTTTTTCATTCGTAACATATTCAGCCTTATCATGAGTTTCATCTTCCCTTTCGCATTTGGTATGGTTTCTATGGGGGGAATCAAAATTTTCATGTGAATTTTGTTTCGGGCTAAACTCAGGATAAGGAAGATTACATACATACAATGATAGCCATTTCCGTTTACCGGACTAAACTCAAAAACCACTCAATAGAGCCCAGTCAAATTGTCGGAGGTCTTATTATAGGCTACTAGAAAACACGCTGGTGGCGCTGGAGTAGAGTTACTTATAAAGGTCGTAATTATTAAGAGATTTCGTTCAAATTCGCAACGTGACCACCTGTATTATGAAAAATTCCTTTGCTAAAAATGGACCCGCTGGATTTAGAAAGTCCGTATTTTTTATAAAATCTGATTGGAATTCATAATTCGTATTAATTTCATGACAAGCAAAGATTTTGCAGAACAGGGACCCAATGGATGACGCTGCACCCGAAATATATAGAAACCCCCATGGGGTTGGTTTATCTTAGACGAATTTACTTTTCAGATGGCTAAATCATGGTACACCGGACCAATGCTGAAGTTGCAGGATCATAGAAGAATATTGCGTACGCTTGGCAGAGATCTCACATGTGGAAATAAGACCATAGGTAAAACGCATTACATCGAAAGGGATTAGTATTCCATATGGAATCACAGCGCTACTATTCTTGGCATATGTCTGAGGAGGATCCGTTTTTTAGTTGTTTCAATTTAAACTAAAAATGTTTACTTTACAGACTGCTTTTGTTTTTAAACGCTATTTTTGAATTAGCCAACGCAAAAGATGTTATTAGGCGCCACGAAGCAAGCGGGCATTTGCTAGTATGTACATATATGTGTGTAAAAATGTCATAATACCTATATTTCGGTGCATTTCCCCTCCGTAATTATAATTCTGTGAAATTTTACTATGAATTTATGTATATGTCTAAGGAATCCTTCATACGAGTGATTTAATGTAATAATTTCGCTAACTAATAATTATTATATTACTTCAGTGTAATTTCAAAATATGATTTCTTAAAATATATTGTTCTTAAAACGCCTTAAAAAAATTTTATTTTGAGGCACTTTCAACTTGTTTTCGGCACTATTTTTGAAGACCATTTGGCACATTTTGAAATTTTGAAATTCCATCCCTGGGTACCAGTATGTCACTTTCATTTGTTGATATACATACATACATGCAAATGTTCTAGTGCACCCAGTGTGCTTGCTATGATTTGCCGCTATTTTATTTCAACTCTTCTTTTTGGTTTTACATTTTGCTTCACAATAGAACTCAAGCCCTGTCGCCGCTGTAGCATACTCTACTTCGAATGCTGACGTGTTTGTTTTGTTGCGCAGCCTGCTGTAGAACGTTTTATGTTGATGTCAGTAGGGGGTTTGTGTTCCTTGGACGCAGGGATGCCGTTTGGATCTAAATAGATCCAATTGGATACATTTTTAGACGAATATTTGCGGGATACTTATTTTTGCCTATCAGTATAAATGTGGATACTTTTTTAAATAGGCCAAAATTTTATATTTTCTATAGTTTTTTTCGTTCAAAAATAGATTTTCATTAATGACGTTTTCTAAATGTTATAAAAATCGCTACTTAAGCGTGAAATTAGAGCATTTTATTTTTTGTGAATGAAGCAATGAACATATGAAGAGATCTCACTAAAGCAGTGTAATAAGAGCTTTAACAGACGGCAGCGTTGATCCGGATCAACTCGGGAATTAACTGCAGTTAATCCGGATTAAGTCCCAGTTAATCCCGATCAACTCGGGATTAAGTCGAAAAAAATACCGATCAACGCTGCCGTCTGTTTAAGCTTTTAGGCGCAATTGTTTAGTTAGCTAAAAAATGCTTTAAGCAAGATCTTAATATATATATATATAAATTAAATATATCTCTTTCATATCACATATCTTCATTTGTTAATATAAAAAGAAAGAAGATCTCAATGTAGTTTAAAATACACTATTTAAAAACTAAATTTGATTTATTTAAGTTAATTTTTATGAATTTTACTGAAAAGGCTTTAAATACACTCTATTTTTTTTTTGTTTATTTGCGCATATTAAGAAAGGTAAACATTTTCCTCTTTTAATGTGTGCAAATTTGCACACCGTGTACTTTAACATACCAAATTTGTCGCAGAGCGCAAAATAACACATAAAATGTTTAAAATAGAGTAAATGTAAGCCCCTAATATTTATTATTTGTAGGAAATGTATTTTTAGTTTCAAAATTTTTGTCACTTTAAACATTTCATGTGTATATTTTAAAGATCTCAAGTTCAAAATCGAATCCTGAACATCTTATACGTATGTATATTAATACAGATTCCTGTTGAAGAATAGATATTTTTCTGTAGTAGTTTTACACACACTTTTCATAGTGTACAGGTACAAATATAACATATTAATTACTATTTTTTATACTTACTTTGCAAAATACTTATGTATAAAAGATTTAATTTGTAAATTGAAATTACAGCACACACACACACGTAGCCTTCGCGTCATCTAACCACACACTAACACACACACACACACACAAAAGATGGGGGGAGGGGTCGGGTAGACGGCGCTGTATGCTCACAACTGCTAGATGGTGCGGTAGCTCGACGTCCCTCCGCCGATCAAGTTTGGTTGGAAATGAAAATGTGTGTGTTTTGCTCACAACCGCTAGATGGTGTGGGTAGTACATGATTGTGAGGGTTATACTTACATTTTTCTGAAGTACGAAAGAAATGAAATTTTTTTGTTTTTTTATTTATCTAGCTTAAAAAATGGTGTTACATAAATTAAATACTTTTAAAAATAGTGTTATATAAATTAAATATTTTTTCGACGGATTTATATCGTTGATAGAAAATGTGACATGCACATGTGTTTACATCTGTTATGTCATCGTTTGACGCCCACATACAATCTACTTTATATAAACCGTATATTGAATATTTGAAAGGGTGGGCTGTGTCATACGGCTACAATTCAGAAATCATATCCTTGAAAAATTCTATGTGTTCTTTGTCCAAGAAACATTGGTATTTAATAACCATATTTTTTAATTCGATTGCTAACATTGTTTGGTCTATTTCCTTTAACAACTTTTCAATTACTAATTAAAAAATATAAAAACCAAATATATTTACTATTACTTTTTTATTTTAGTTGTAAATTACAATTTTTGAAAATTTCTACATCATGATCTCTTATTGTAACTATTGCATACTTAGATTGAGCAAACTAAGCATTATACCATTTTACTATATCTACCGTAAACATAGCGTTTGGTTGAAATATGTCATAAACGTTTAATTTAAACTCGAAGCATATACCAGTAATTGCTTCATCTTCTACGGTGTAGTCGTCTTCTAAGAACTCAGCCATGTCTGTTGATAGACACTCTTCTATGGAATCGAAAAATAGATCGTCCAAGTGCCACGCCTTCATCCTCAGTTTTTAACAATAGATCGATTTTTTTACAGATCAGATCAAATTTTAAGGTCTTCATTGTAATATTTTCATCACAATTCAAGTACAGTTCCATTTATGCAAACGACACAATTAACTTATTATCTTAACTGGATTTGACTAATATTAACCCAGATTCACACACATGCGGTATAGCGCTAGACAGCGCTGCATGCTATCAGCGCAAAACACATGGAAACCCGTATATTATTTAATGGAGAAAATAAACCTTATCAACACTGGATGTGGTGCAATAGGAAAAAGCAAACGTTATGTAAACCATCCGCATATAAAAGGACATATTATATAAAACACTTGAAACTATGAGTGAAGAACAAGTTATAGTCAGTGTAGCCAGAACTTTTTGGGCCGACCGGCTAGATTGGCAAAAAAAAGCGGCTAAAATGTTTTAGTGAAATTTCACATAGACTCTGGCAAAAAACGGCTAAAATGTTTTAGTGAAAATTCACATGCTTTATTTAAATAAATCGCAAGAAACGAAAGACTAGTTAACACCATTAATTTATATCGAGTGTATATTCCTCATCATCAAATGAATCACTATTGTATATATCACCTGAATTCATTAATTTTAAGAGATCGTCATCTACAGTAAAATTATGGCAGCATTTTTCTTCACATTTTAAACCGTATCTTATAAATAAAATAGCGTTTAACGTTTTAACGCACATTGGATTTCTTTGCTTAGTTTTTATTATATTCATTGAACTAAATATTCGCTCTACTTCTGCATTACTTATAGGCAAAACAAGAAAACTAAAAAGTAGGTTGCAAAGGTCAGCAAAAGGGTTTTCTCCTAGGGCATTTCGAAATTGATAAACTTCGTCCCAAAATTTTACAGTTGAGCCTAAATTACTCCAGGTATGTAACGTTAACCGTTGCCATTGCATCTCTATGGATGTTATTTCGTCGGCATTATATTTGCGTTTTTGTTGCTGTAGTTGAACAAATACTTTTGGTTTAATTACTCTTAATGCATTTCCAACCGAAAAAAGTCAATTTTTTTAGTGCGGCAATATTTGTAAGGGAGGCGTTGGCGTAATTCCTTTATTAAAGTGATAATAAAATAGCGACCATTTTCTCGAATTATTTTCTCGGCTTCGTGGTCAAAAGCGTTTGTGCTTACTTTTGTTTTTAAATACTCTTCAAAACTGTGATAAAACTGAGGAAATGGAGCAAGGTATGGTTCCAACGGGGAGCATATAGGATCAAATGTGTCCGCGCTAATAACCACTAGGGAGCATAGATGCGAAAGTAAAACATTGAGTTCATTAAAAATCTTCATTGGGTCTGCATTATTGCTTTCGAACAACTTGTTTACTTTTTGCACCTGAAAATTAGGCAAATAGTAAAATCGGCTAAAAACGGCTAACTTTTTTTTACAAACCGGCTAACAAATCGGCTGCCGGCTAGATCGAATTTTCTCCGGCTAGTTGCTATCAAAACCGGCTAAATCTAGCCGGAAACGGCTAAAATGGCAACGCTGGTTATAGTTATAGATGTGCAAGGATTTTTTATTAACAAATTCTTTGCAAAGGAGTTGAGCATTGTTGGATCTGATTTGGAAATTAAAACCTTTATTATAAAATCACCTTGTGGATATTTGCATTTACCGTTGAAGGATCGAATCAGTCAACTGGCTATATAACAATCATCATGGATTAGAGTGGAAAGATGGTGAAGCTTCATTAAAAGATGTTAAAAGATATTTAAATCAATGTCTTAAAGGGAAGGAAGATAAGACAAATGTCTATGTAAAAGGATAAGTAAAAATTAAATGGATACAAGATATACTTAAAAAGATATTAATATATTTAATTTAGATGATTTGAATTGTCCAAATATAGAAAATTTGTATAAAGCTAATATGAGTGTGAACAATGAAATTAGTATTTGTGATTATCATAAGATGAAAAAAGTTCTACCAAATTATTGTAAATGTTCAGAAAAAAGTTATTTTATTTAAAAATTTTATAACCAATTATATGAATAAAGAAAACATAAACTAAAATGTAATTCTTTTTATTTCATAATATACGGGTTTCCGTTTTATATTATTCAACGTTTGCTTTTTCCTATTGACCCCATCCAGTGTAGATAAGGTTTTCACTACATACGCTGTAGATAAAGTTTGGTTTTTCCAATAAATAATATGAGTCATATCCGTTTTAGATAAAAAACTTAATACAAAAGCTAGTGAGGGATCGGTAACTTTATCAATTCAAAACATTTAACGCAAAGAAGTAAATACGGATAAAGTAAAATACTAAAATGGATAGCGTTCTATTAAAAATTAATTCAACTCAATCGAAAAATAATAATTTAAAACCAATACTTTCATTAACCCTAGAACACACACCCAGAAAATACCACGTAAACACACACCCGGGATACGTTTGTACCCGGGACCTTATTTTGCGGTTTTTTTAATGCTTATTCAACCGATTTCTATGATTTTTTTTTTGAAATGTATATTTTAATATATAACAAGTATTTTGTCTTTTGTTTCATTCGAATATTCCTACTGGTTCCAGCGATATGGGCAAATAAAGTCAGGACATGCAACAGTGGATTTTTGTTTTTGTTGTTGTCCTGATAAATGCAAAACAAAATAATATAATTTATAATAATATACTTGTAGAGTAACAACGAATACACATTTTGGTTTTTATTTCATTGAAATATTCTACCTGGTTCAAAAGATATGTGCAAAAAGGTCGCGCAAGGTATGGGTACGTAGGTAGCAAATACACTGGTATAACTGGTTTTTGTATTTTATATGCAGCTGCAAGGGTTGTTTTCACACGAGGTGTTGTTATAAATGCTGCCTGTTGATATTTTCATTATTGTTTTGGTGCTCAAAAGTGTAAGAAGTGAAAATATAAGTGAAAATAAATATAACTGAAACTATAAATAACTGGATACGAAATGACTTCAAGAAGAAACGAATATTTATCAAGTGCAGCATATAGAAGGTAAAAAATGTAAAATAAGCAACAATGTAAACATATACTAATTTTTTTTATTATGCAGGCTAACTGAGGAACAGCGAGAATCATATATACAATCTTTATTTGATGAAATTTGTGACGATGACGCTCCCTATGACTTTGACTCAGAAGATGAAGAAGAAATTCAAATCAATGACATTGAAATTGCTGATGACGATGCTGAAGTTTCGCAAAGTGCCGCAGAAGTATTACCTGATTATGCGGACTATGAGGATGATGAAGAAGACGATGAAGAAGAAGAAGTAGAAGAAAATAATGAATTACCTGCTAGTGCCGAAAAATTTGTTGCACGTGATGGTACTGAGTGGATGAAAGAACCAAATGTAAGTCGTCAGGTACTCAGACAAAATATTATAAGAGAACGTTCTGGACCAGCTAGATGCACTGAAATGTTGTCAATAGAGCAAACATTCAAATGTTTCATGAACGTTGAAATGGCTGATATAATTATGCGCCACACAAATAAGTTAGCAAAAGAAACTTATAATGCTTACAACAATGCGCATCCAAACACAACTCCTAAGTCATGGACGCCTGTGTCAATAACAGAGCTGTATGCATTTTTTGGCATACTTATTATGACTGGTGCGAACCATAGCAATGGAGAACATGTTCGAGATTTATGGAGCGTCAAAAACTATCCTTTATATCGCGCCACAATGGGAGTCAACCGTTTCTGTTCGATATTGCGGTTCCTAAGATTTGACGATAAAAACACTCGTGCAACACGCTTACTAACTGATAAAGCAGCACCGATCAGTGAGTTGTGGACGATGATGAACAATAATCTTGCTGCACATTACAAGCCCAGCTCATGCTTGACGATTGATGAACAATTATTTCCTTACCGTGGACGCACACGGTTTACGCAGTACATACCGTCAAAACCTGCTAAATATGGTATCAAGGTTTGGTGGATTTGCGATGCCACAAATGCATATCCACTGCATGGACAAATATATACTGGCCAAGCAGAAACTGGTAGGGAAACGAACCAAGGCGAACGAGTGGTGAAGGATTTGTCTGCCAAATACCAAGGAAGTGGCCGAAACATTACAATGGACAATTTGTTTACGACCTTGCCAGTTGCAGAACTGCTTCTCACCTGGAAACTCACGATCGTTGGAACTTTGCGCAAAAACAAATCATATATTCCTCAAGAAATGAAGCAGAACAAAAACAGGACAATTGGTTCAACGACATTTGGCTTCAAAAATAATGTGACAATGTGCTCTTATGTTCCCAAAAAAAATAAAGCAGTAATTTTGCTTTCGACCATGCATAATGATGCTGAAATAGCTGACAGTGGGAAACCTGAAATAATTGAATATTATAATCGTACCAAAGGTGGTGTTGATCGAATGGACCAAATGTTTGCGGAATATCCAACACAAAGACAAACAAAACGATGGCCACTAGCGATGTTCTTCAACATGTTGGACATTACAGCTCTTGCAGCCTACATTGTCTACGATTTGAATAACCCTATGTTGCCTTGGAGAACAAACAACAAGCGTAAGCAGATCCTGCGCAGCTTGGCTGAAGCATTGTGTATGCCCATTATTGAAGCCAGAGCCATAAATCGTCAAGTGACGCGAAATTTTTCGACTAAAATTGCTATTGAAGCATATTTCAACCGACCGGTGGAATCAATGGTGTCAACAGCAGCATCAACATCTGCCGCAGCGCGCACGCCAAAACCTGTGTCCGGATCTTGCTATTTATGTTACGCACAAGAGGAAAAACGCCGTAGAAAAACCAGAAAGCTGTGCGACAAATGTAAGAAGCCAATGTGTCTTGAACATTCGGTCACATCAACAAATTGCTCTATTTGCCATGATTTTCCTTAGATATAAGATGCATTTTTATAATTTTTATAATAAA